GCGGAGGAGGTTATAGTTTCAAGGAAAAGTGTCACGGCGCGCGACGATGATAGAACGACGTTTCTGTAGATGATGGGGAGTGTCCAGTGTCGGACGTGAGTCGACACTAGGGTCAAACTCAATCCAGTCGCAGCAGACGAGGCAGACGCGAGCTCGAATATTTGTCTGAGGATGTCCATGGGCACTCCTGGAAAGGTGCGTATCGGCATGCTCACTTCTAACCTCTAGTAATTCTCCAAGTCAGCGACAGGCGTTTGATTAAATAGCGAGAGCGACTTACCTGCAAACGATATGGGTGTCAAATGGTCGACTAAAGGGTGATTTAGTGGAGCAACGATAGGAGTCGAAGTCGCGAATATATATGGACGCACGGCAGCCCGCCACAGAAGGCCACAGATCTCTTGTGTGCCTCTCAGACCAACTGCATGTGGATAATTTGATACGTTATTCAACGCACGAGACGAGTCTGGATTCTGCTTCATGTGTCTACATGTGGCGTTAATCTTTTCTTCCGTGTACCCAGAACTTTGTGTGTGGAGACTGGAGGTAGAAGTTGCATTGTAATGTGTGGCGTATGACCAGAGGTGGACTCGTCACTCGGGTGCTCAGGAGTGACGTCTATCAACATCTTGATGCCCCCAGCACGTCGTGAGGGGGTTTGAGGTATGATCACAAGAAACTCCGAGCACTCTGGCTCCATTTGGGTCTGTTATTAATCTCCTCAATGAAGAACGATGGCAACGTGGCCGAGTGGTCTAAGGCGCTGGAATTGGTCGGCGAGCTTTGGCGAGCCCCTCGAGCATGGGCGAGAGCACCGAGCAGAGCGCGGTGAGCGCCCTCGAGCATAGGCGAGTCGACCCGCAGGCGAGTGCACGAGCCAGAGCGGCGCGGCCGAGTCAGAGCGCGGTGAGCAGCGCATGAGAAAGACGCCGCTATGCTGTGAGCGTGTTTGGCCGCGTGGCGTGTACGATAATTATTCATTCGAGCATGGGCGAGAGCACCGACCCGCAGGCGAGTGCACGAGCCAGAGCGCGGTGAGCGCACGAGGCGCATGAGAAAGAGCTGACGCCGCTATGCTGTGAGCGTGTACGATAATTATTCATATCAAGTGCGCTACGATGGATCCTAACGGTTATATAGGGTGGTCGTCCTCGCTTTCTGATTCCTCAGGTGGAGTGGCCTTTGGAGGAGGATTGACGGTCCGCGGGAATCTCGGTCTGAACGATGGGCAAAGGCTCGACTGGGTTCTCCAAGCCACTGGGCGACTGTCTCCGTTCCCCCCATTCGCATGAATGTGCCGGAAAAGTTCGTATCAATGGTCAAGGTGGGCCTCCTGGATCTATGGCCTCCAAGGATATCTTTGACAGGTGGTGGTAAGGTAGGGGAAGAGCTAGTGGCAGGCGGATCACTGGAAGACGTGGTTGCGTCTGCGGTGGATGGTACATTGACGTTTGTCGAGTCGGCTGTGTGTTGGAGGGCGGAATCTGCGTCGGCGGTTGCTCCCCGTCGCGCTCCGGTTCAGGTTCAGGAGCAGCCTCGTCTGAGCTGGATTCTGGCACAAGAGCAACCGCCGCTACGAGTCCAAAAATCCCGTGATCGTGGTTGCAGCAAGAGCTGCAGTGACGCGGCTATGCTGAGATTTTTGACTACTGTAGGCGAGCCCCGTGCGTCCCTCTAGCAAAAGTCCAGTGATCGTGGCGAGGCGTCGCCGCTACGAGTCCAAAAGATCGTGGTTGGCTGCTCGCGGCAATTCCCGCAACGACATGTTCTTTACCACCATGGCCGACGCGGCGGCTACGCCTCTGCTCGACTCTGCATCTCCGAGCCGCAACGCGTATTTTGTCCACCAGGCACCGGCCGTTCTTCCGTTCTGCATCACACGTGCGATCACTCTGCTTCGAATTCACAACGCGTCACCCTGGGGACGCGCCTCTGCAATCACAAGCGTCCGTCGCAAATCCTTGGGGCATCCGACGCGTTTTTGCCCGGATTCAACGACGCGTTTTGCCCGGATTTAATTTACCATGGCGCCCTATAAAAGCTGCTCGAAAACGCTGCCCATCCTTGTCGCCCTCCGGGCCCCGTTGGCGCCATGCCTCTTCGTCCAAAACCCACCACTCGCAAAGAGCGTCTCGACAAACGTTCCGCCGTACCCGCCGTTGCTGCAAAGATCAAGAGCACGGGTTTCTTTGCTCAGCGGTTTGTCAAACGGCTTGCTCGCTCATCCCTCTGCGTAGTCAGGCGGCTGAAGCGGGACTGGAGAGAGTTTTGCGCCGAACAGCCAGAAGACAACCATCTCCAGGTTTACCCCGAGATCGACATCGACACAAAGCTCCCGCCACGAGGTACGTCTTCCACACACGCATATACGCATATACTCACACCCTTATAGAAGCCTTCATCGCATTCACCACGCACCAAGCACTCTCCTCCAAAGGCCGTATCAGCGAGTATTCGACGAGGGACACCATTCGCTCCCTCATGGGCTCCTTCTTTGGGATCTGGCGACGCGAAGCTCTAAAACCCGTTCCCTTTGAATACACCCAACAGGTTTACACCTACATCGACTCTGAACAGCTCGCAGAAATCGTACCGCTCTGCACCGACTCGAAGCCGAAACACTCCATGAGCGCCACTGACTTTGAAGTCCTCGCCCGAGCACTTTTCAGGGACAACGGGTTCCGGACGCTTCGCATGGTGCTCCAAGTTGCTTACTTTATCAATATCCAGTCGCTCATGACCGAGCGCCCCGGAGCCCTCGTCGAAGGAACCAAGTACAATGGCACCAACGAGGCTCTCACATGGGGCGAACATGTCTTTCACGTCATTCCCAACAAAGACGACCCCCATCATCCTCTCATCATCATCGTCGTCAAGATACGCCGCCAGAAAGGGTACCGGGGGAAAAAGTCTGTATACAAAGAGTTTATCCTCTATCCCGAGCCCAACACAAACCGTGCAATGTGTCCTGTCGCCCAGGCGGTAGCTCTCGCCATCGAAGACCAGATATTTGCCGACGTCACTACTGCTGAGCAGATTTTTTCCCCCAAGATACCGCCGACGGACCACCACATCTTGACCCTGAAGCTCAAATCGCGCTCCCAGTGTGTAGCACGTGCCGAGGTCTTGGTCAACGGTGTCTGGGGCATTTCTTCAGACCGTGCATTGACCTATACCACATACAGCGGCCATTTACGACGCGTCAGTTTGGCAGATGGGTTCATTGGTATGTAAGGATCATGCACAATTTCATCTCGCTGATTTCCCCTCCAGTTCATGTCACCGCATACTGCTTTCGACGCGGCGCCTCTAACCGGATCTCTCAGGAACTAGAAGAAAATGACCTACACACGCTCATGGGTCATACAAAGGATTCCAGAAAGTTCAACGTGCGCATCCACAGATTTCCTAAACACCGTTACTCATCATGTTACAGAATGCATACCAAAGCAGACTCGTCGACTCTGATCTAGGTGCCGTGCTCTATAGCCGCGAGGAAAACACTGAGCATGTCACAGCGGGCAAGGTAAGGAGGACACTTTTTTTCTCTTATTAATCTCACACCCGCGCAGGTTGTTTCAAGCATGTCTGCTCGTCGAGACAACAACGCTCCCGTGCAACTACCCTTGGAACATGTGGGTTTAATTCTCAACGAACCAGAGCTTGTGGACATGCGACGGGCACGCGAAAAGGTACCTGTACTTTATTTCCTCCTCTTCTCAATGTTGACCTCCCTCTCAGCTCGCCAAGGAAATTTCGGAAACCTCAGGGCTCCTGGTATCAGCAGACGTGGATGAGGAAGAGCAGAAAACAGTAGCGGCCAAGGTGCTCGATCTCAAAACGGCCATCACTCAGCATGACAAGGAGTATTGCAACATTATACGGCGGGAAAAGAAGCACCGTCTCGTCCAGGTCCGGACGGATTACTTTGCAGGTGCTTCGGCGCGCCAGTTGACCGGAACAGTGAGCATCCTTTCCTCCCTCTCTTTTCATGTCTGATATCTCTTTCCTAGGCGGCCCCGCAGCGCACTTCCACCATCACACGAGGCAAAGAAAACGAGCCAGGACTCATCCATGTCTCCAAACCCTTACCCCGCTGCGACGCTATCGAAGAATTGATCAAAAACTTTTTTGACGCCGGTCTCTCGTTCGACACAACCGCCGACTCCATCCTCGGATACATTGACGCCCTTGACAACATTCCTGCCAAGCACAGTGCTGTTTGCTATATTGGAGAGTCCCCCGATGAGGACAATGAATGTCCGGTTTGTAGCAAGGAATGCACGTATGTGGTCATACTCCGATCCTGTCCTCGCCGTCAATTTTATTCTTTAGACTCTCAAAAATGTCCAAAGGCATCGGCAGGCACATCCACGAGTGCATAGCAAAGACCGTACAAAAGCAAGCCATGCTCAATGCGGAGGACGCCTTCAAACCGATCCGTTGCTTGTGGAATGGCTGCTTCGCATCGAAAACCGTATGGAAAACGCGGAAATCATTCCAAAAGCATGTGCACAACCATCTCGTCTGGCTCGGCGGCCTCTCGCTCCACGGTGACATCAGACGCTGCAGGTGGTTTGAGCACGATCGTATTTGCGACGAGGATGCTCAAGATCACGCGTCCTTTTGGGATGATCACTTCGCCAATGCACACGGCATCAATACCAGCACATCCATCAGTCCTTTCCGGCCACTCTTACCTTGCTTTTGGATGCGGATGTCAATTTGGTAGAAGTTCACAAGGACAACTACTTTTTTGTCAATCTTGTTTGAGTTCTCGCTGACGATGTTGTCGTGAAATTTGTTGACCACTTTCTTTTAAAATATCCTTCTGATGTCATGAAAGTAGTTTTAGATGAATAGAGACTTGCACGGTTTCAGTGCAAGCTTGATAACCAGAATTACTAACTATGAAGTTTGAACCAGTCAACTTGGAGAACCCGAAGGAGATGCAAGTTGCAATTCGCAAAAAAGAGCACCGAGAGTCAAGAAGAACACGATGACAGAAGTGGGGTTCGAACCCACGCTCTTTCGAACCAGATACAAAGGGACACCTAATTCTGGCGCCTTAACCACTCGGCCATTCTGCCATGAGGTAAATAGTTTTGTGCTGGAATCATTCTTTCTGCTCTACCATTTCCTCAGCTACCGCTGATTGCCTTGCTCATCTGTGAGTCCTTTTAAGTATCTACTGTACCATTAACCAGCTGTCTACTATCTAGACTCCATGCAATGCTGGCTTTGTCTTGCATAATTAATATAAAATGTCCGGTTACAGGTCTAAGAATCAGACCATACATTTTTCTGGCCCCTCCCCAAGGTGTGTTCAAAAAGGAAAATTATATTCCTCATAGCCCACAGTACCAAGAGTGTGACCATCAAAAGACAGGAATACGCTATGACCTCTATGACCCAGCTTCTGAATCAAATGTCTCTCGATGAGAAGCACGCTGCTGCAGCACGTATGAGAGCGAGCGAAGCAGAGCGTATTTGTGGGGAAGCAAGGCTTGCGAGGATATCCAAAGAGGCTGAGTTGATGGAGCTGAGCAACACCTATGCCCAGAAGATACTCGACACACTGTCCTTGGCAAAGGAATTAGGAATTGGTATGTGTTTCTATGCATATATACGCATTTATGAGTCCTTACGGAGACTGCAGATCCAAATGACCTACGTACGGTCTTAGCATCTGGGCCATCTTTGTGAAACTGACCTTGACTCTAGGCCTTGCTAAAGACCCTCTGAGTTTCATTCAGTCAAAACGACCGAATGGTCAAGCTACAGTTCCGGCGATGTCAGCAAGAATGAATCCCTCTCAAATGCCTGTCCGACCTCGTCCTTCTTCTGGCCGTTCGATCCTTCCGTCTCCAGCACAAACTCCCTCCCATCCTTCCAATGATTCTTATCAGAATGCCAATATGCCTCAAACTAGCCCTATGCACTCGGCCGCATTGAATTTTCCTTCAAACACTCAGCATGTCTCTCCAGCTGCCCACATCGTTACTCAGGCCTCAGTCCCTCTTCAAGGACAACCATCTGTGTTTGCCCCGCAAGGATTCACCAACGGTTTTACCAACAATGCCTTTGCCAACAACGGCTTTCAACCCGGCATGTCAATCTTTGCTCCTTCAAATGTCTTTGCTCCAGCCAACTCTCATTCATTCGGTACATTTGGGAACTCTTCTTTTGCTCCATTTGCTACTGCTGGTTCTTTTGGCACTGCTCCTACGAACACTGTCATGTTTGGTACTGCTCCCACGAACACTATCACGACGACTTCTCCTGACGTTGAAATGAATTAAACTAGTATGATTACAATGTTTTATGCTACTACTTCTCCTCTAGTCGTTCCTGCCCCTTGACTAATAAATTAGATAGCATTTGCTGTGGCCGTTCAGGAAGTTTGGGTACCATCTGTTTTACGGTGAGAGCGATGTTGAATGTTTGAAAGAAAGATATCGTACATTGATCATATCCTTGAAATCCTGCAAGCTTTCCATTGTTGGGGGTGATTCTTTTGCCGTTTGCGGTGCATGGAGGTGGAGGGCATCCTCTTCGCGCAGCTCCTCTCCATATAGAGTTCTGTTGTGCGCTCAGAGTAGACGCACATGGTCATCCTTTTTAGCACAATTGTCGGTAATCATATGCGCTCGTAAGATATACTAATCCCTGTGGCTAGAGAGAACGTTAAAGATAGGTGGGTGGAAACACTGTGTGCCCAACCTAAAATATTGGCAGGGATAGATATATTCCTGGTATCAGACGTCGTCATTGCTGCTCCACTGAGACACCATCTTCAGCTCTAGCTCCTTCCATTCCATATGCACCCTCAGCCTATCAGGAGAAAATCAGATGGGTGTTGAATGTGTAAAGAGACGGACCCACATGTGTCGTTTGAAGCGGGCGATTGTGTTAAACTTTACTGCCTGTGAACCTGGTCTATGGTGATAGAAGGGGCACTTGGGGCACGACCACATCTTGGTTGCCTTGTCCTGCATAGCAGCGAGTCAGATAAAGACAGGTTATAACCCTAAGAACGAACGTACATAGTGCTTCTCATTTTCGTGATCAGCCTCGATTGGCTCCATGAGCGCAATCATCATTGCTTCCCGTACATCAATCACGGACACTGGCACGTCGTTGGGCTCATCCTGCTCATTAATGTCCTCGCTTGCAGGAGTAAAGTTGTCCGCGTTGATGTCTTCTGCTAGCATGGATGTGGCCGGACACTCCTTGTCCATTGAGTGCATCATTTTGAAAACACCTTCGGTATACTCTGGCTGGGCGAATTCACCGAAATCAAAGTCAATGTCATTGGTATCATTGTCATCATCTTGGACGCCAGCAGTATCGGGATCGGAGTTGCTACCTGCGGCAGAGTCATCTGCAGTCATCGTTGTTGTTGCACCTGGAATGAGGATAAATATCATAATATGGTTGAATATGAGATTCAAGGCACCTTGGATGATTGACTGGAGAAAGCTCGAGACTTCTTGAGCCTTTTCCATTGTGGCGTCGCGCTGTTCAGTGGTGCCAGGTAATGTCCCAACCATGTCCTTGTTGTCATGGCTGCGAACATACTCAGTGGTAAATCGGCGACTCAAGACACTGCGTAATTTGGTGACACAATTATTGTTGTCCTTGAGTTTCTGAAGAATCTGAGAAGAATGAGCTCAAGCATTGCCTATAAGGCTAAATAGCCTACCGGGAGGACGTCATTGGCATCGTATCCTTTGGCAAATGTGAAGTGTTTTCTCTGACCACTGGGTCTCTGTCCTGTCGCAATGTCGTAAATGGTGGTGGGGTTGGAGTATTTTTTGGCATGATGGGTAAAGCAGGCATAATAGATACGCCATTGGCTGTCCAGCGTAGCATTGGCTTCCTTCCACTGGGGGTCAGCCTATGAATGGATTAGCACCAAGATGGGTAAAATCAGATGATCTCACATTGAGGCCGGCTAGCTTTTCTTTCTCAGGCATGATTGCCTTCCTTTTTGATGTTTTTTCGTCATTGTCATTGTTGTTGGCGTCTTCCTCGTTGCTGTCCTTGACAATGTTTTGTCTAATAATGCTATGAACGGCAGCCCGGAGATATGCCTGCCGCTCGACAAACACCTACATTGTGTTGAGATGGACACCGTCAATGTAGTGATAAGAACACACCTTGCCTGCAGTCTCCATCATGTGTACCAGTACCACATTGATGTGCTCGACGCCTCGACTGTAGTGGTTGGCAAAGATGGAGTCAGCCTCGTGTGCCATTATGTCCCTGGCAGTGCGATCATCAAAGTAGCAGCTAAAGGTGTCACCAGCTTCTCTCCGAAAAGTATATCTGCCAACTACTGCAAGACAAGCCATCTTGCAGAGTGCAGCAATTGAAGCTGAAATAGCTGACGAGCTGGCGGGCTTTTTAAAGGAAACAAAGGAATGGCCACCAGGTTGTATAGCAGGGAATCTATTCACCTGTCAGTTAATGGAAGGAGAGGGTACAGTATAGACTTACAATGCCCACTCATAAGTCACTGGGTCCAGGGCTAGTTCAGCTGCATTGCAGGCGAATAATTCCGCCAAAGACTGAATCAATGGTCAATAAACAACGAACTTGACAAAGGTCAGAGTACTTGCCACAAATTTAGTCGCAAATGCCCTAATGGCATACAAGTAGGTCATTAACCATGTGACAACACAAAAAGAAAGGTTATGGGCCCTCGTAACTGACTCTAGGTAAAATGTCTGTTCCTTGCCCAAGAAGCTGTTGTTCCCTTTATAGTTTTTAAAATTGATGGCAATCGTCCAAACCATATGGGATTGCTGATAAATCCTAAGATTCTTGAGTTTCAGGTACTGGAAAGGAGCGGTTAGAAAGGGTAGGGACAAGGGAACAAGACATACATAGCCGAGAGATGCATATTCACGACAAAAGGGACCCATGGATGATGGTCGGGAGGTCATATAAAATGGAAAAAGCACCTAAAAGAAACAGTCAGAATCCAAGCAAAGCCAAAGAAAAAGAAATACCCTAAGAATGACATTGATTTTGATGAGGCGCATGCTTGGACTACACATTGCCGTGTCAATCAGTATCTGGAGTTCTTTGCAGCCATAATACCACTTCTTGTCGTAGTACCGATCCAGGTCAAAGTGATGAATGACTGCGGGAAGCATTAAAGAGAGATGGAAGAGAAGCAAGTGTACGTACGACTGAGAGTTTGATCCTTCAAGCGAGGATGAACCTTGAGTTTTGTGAGAAGCACTATCCCACATAATCTTGACATTGCTGGATCAACCGTATAGCGAATGATGAGATGGATAAGGAGGGTCATGAACTGGAACAATGTGTGTGCTTTCATGTACTTGCGACCGACTTGATGAGGTCTAATGGTGTGAACCTGTTAAAATATTAGAAGCAAACCAAGATAAAAATTGACAAACTCACCAGATAATAGAGGAATTTGGTGGCGGCTTTATTGACCATCCCGATGTGCCAATGTGTGTTGACAGGAATGTCAGGCCAAACCTGTTCCAAAAATTCAGCCCAGCAGGTTTCAAGGTACTCGCGGGCCTTGATGGTCAATGGTGCTTCTGCTGGCTTGACTATCTCTGTCTCGAATTTCTCTGCATCCTCCATGAACTTGGCTATAAACTCTGGTTCGTTTGCTGCCGGACCAAGCATGGCGTCGACGTTGGCTTTGCAGCGACTCTTGAGCTTTGCAGCATGTTCTGGAGCAGCAGCAGGAAGTGTCAACTGTACTGGGACAGGAATGTTATCGATAGAGACTGCAACGTAAGCTCCTGTCTGAGGAGCAAGGTCGATGTCGGGGGGTCCCACTTGAACCGCATCATCAGGAACGAGAGGCTCTTGGATGAGGAGACTGGGGAGCCCTTTGTCGGTAGAAGTCAAGACATTTTTGTCTGTGAAAATGTGCTTGGACATGGTGGGGACAGTGGGGAAGGAACAGAGGGAGCACCACCTTTTTTTATGGGGTGGTCGGAGTCGAATTGCATGTACTGGTAATTTCATTGCTGACGAGGAAGCAACCCCACCTTGTTCTGACCCACCATGACTGACTCTCCTGGTGTACGTATTCATA